GGCTGGTGATCTGCCCGCCAGGGTTCGGACCCAGCCGCTACCGCCGCCCTGAGCCGCCGGAGATCCCGGTCCCTGGGCAACGCCTTCAACCGCCGCCTGTCCCCGTACGGAGGCAGCGCCTGTCCCTGCAGCCGCAGGTCCTAGTGCCCGCTGCTGGTGAGTAGCCTCCAGAGTTCCCCGTGCTCAAAATGCCTTTGTTATGACAACTTGACATTAATCAAGAAATCATTACTGATATAATTTTTTTTATAAAAGTATTACTGATTGCACTTTAAAAATGAGGTAACTTTATGTTATTAAAGGTAAAGTTTAAACAGTAATGAATATTCATGAAGGCTTATTCATGTTCATGACAGGTTTTTATGATGGTGTCATGACAGTCTTATTCACCCCCCTTCAAATAAAGTGTTACCAAGCATCCTAATGCAATAATCCCTCAATTCCTCCAATCTTTGTTAGATTTATATGCAGATCTTATCTCAGGCACAGAGCGAGGAACAGTTTAGTTCCATTAAACACAAAATTGAAATGCTTCCAAATATTACCAGAGAAGATGCAGTATGATGATGTAACCAAATCAAAAAGCACCCATATATACATCTCAAGAACCAGAGTTCTTGTCATATGACTTGTAGCTAACTGAAACGCCACTTAACCCATCTAACTCTTCCATATTCCAGCTTCTGCGACTTTTCTCACTTGAACTCATTTTGCTTCCTTCTATGTGCCCCTCACCTGAAAATGCCCTCTGTTTGGTCTCCATTGAGACCCAGAACCTCTTCTGAGAGACGGGTCTGGACCCAGGGCAGCTGGCGGTCTGGATATCGCTCCTTCTGAAGCACCATTACTTCCTCTAATGAAGAGCCAAACATGGATGGGCTAAATATGGCATTCCTGGCGTGCTGGATTTCCTCAAGAGAGGGCTTCTGGAGCCCCTGATGAGACAGAAACATTTGTGGAACACACAGGGATTGTCTTAACACAGGGCTAACTAAACCCAATGGCCATATATTAGTACAGTACTCCAATGCATTAGACAGATTGAGTATGTTTTCCCTGTTTGTGAATTGTCACAATCTTACAAACTATTGCATCTTCTGGGTTTTTTTGTCCTGCAGGTTTCACCAGCTCAGTTGTTTTGGATCTGTGGTTAATTCTTACCTTTTTGGCTCCAGTCAAAGCAGCTTTCATCAGTTTCCTGTAGCAGTATTTGGCATAGCTGCTAATGGCAACTCCTTGAAAACAAAAATACAAAGTTTCAGCAATTAAAATTGTTCCTGTTTGAGTCCAGGCTGATGGATTCTTTCAACATAAACAGATTTTCTTCTATCATTTTTTCTTTTCTCATTCTTTTCATTAATTCAGGAGCTACACTTACACCAGTGTGGCAACAACACAGACCTCACTGTCTTGTTTTTCCCCATTTAACTGACGAGAAAAGATCAGTCCTCATTTGGATATATGCCCTGTGTTGCATATCAGGTCTCCTGAGGGACCTGATATGCAACACAAGACATATTTGTAAATGAGAACAAGATCTTAAACATGTTACCTAAAATAAAGGTTTAAACAAAAATTGTTGGTTCTAATTTTGATGTTAAAGCGAAACACAAGTACTTTGGGAGCCCAGCAACACTACAGAAGGCTGACTGCTTTAACAGATATATTAAACTAGAAGTGTTTGTCAGTGTGACTTTCTACAAAGTCAACTTCAACAAATCAGGTTCAGTTTGAAATGCATGATACTATTACCATTATTTTACTATCACTATCGTCATTGTTTTTTCTTTGTTACACAACACACATTATATAGAATTTATAGGGTGTACATTGGCAAAGAGTTTGTAATTATTCTGATGCTGTATGTAGAGTTATTTACAATTATTACTATCATTATGAATACCATAACATGGTTTTAATAACAAATTTCTGATCATTATTGAGTCGGTAAGCAATATATTTCATTAAATTGAGATAAGAGGTAGGATTAAATAAGTGTTCATTTCTTCCTACTCCATTTCAACAGAAAAGTAGTGGCAAGGTAATTATTTCATTCTTGGTTATGCATGTACATGTTTTCTCTTGTCTTACTGATAACTTGTTTTCTTTTGTTTAAGAAACCTGTTTGAAATAAAAAAAAAGAAAATAAAATGAAACAAAGTGAAGCCATCTCCTGACCAGTCATGACAATTAAATATGGAACAATTTAAATCTGAGGCTGGAGAAATATCCTGCAATTAACAAAATGAGCATGTAAATATCCAAGTACACTGAGAGGGTTCATGAAATGTGGTGCTTAATGTCTATGCTCACTCATTTACCTTTGGTGTCATTAACTGGGTCCATGTGTCTGTAGATATAACCCTCCAGGTAGGCGTGGAAACGGGGAGTGGGAGGAAAGAAGGCTAGGCAGATGGCCATCAGCTCCCAACCACGCTCCAGGCTATCATACCGGAAGTTCTCTGTAGTTTGACGGCACAGCTGGATGTAGAGCTCATCACGGAGACCCTGGTTACTCCACCCCCGCACCACCACCTGAAAGAGAAAGCCAGGAAGCTGTCTGGTTAAAGACAGGCTCATTCACCTTATTCCTAGCAGTGGTGCTGAAGACTTATTGTGGGTGTAACTTCCAGGATTGTTAGCTACAGACTCTTCTCAAAGACCGACACAACTGCGGCAGACTTTGGTGTGACATCAGTCCAGTAGGTTAAGTTTTTCATCAGACAATATTCAATTGCTAATGTTTGACAGTCCGATGTGTTTATTTAATTACAAACAGTGGTGGTCCATGTGACATGCATGTCTAACAATGTAGCTTCCAGTAAAGGAAGACTCCATGTTTTGTTTGAGAGTCATGTACCAAAAGACATCTGGGAAACTGTGCTCTTCAAGAAAAAGTGACTATAGTCTATTTTAACATGCTGTAGATTTGTATGTCTATTTGAAACAGTTAGCCCTAAACATGTTATCTTCCACTTGGCCACAATTCTGTGTTTAAAATTCTCTCTCCCAAACAATTTAAGGAGCACTAACCAGTGATGTCAGTAAGTCTCTAATCAGGTAACTTTTTGCAGTAACGAGTAATCTCATGTCTTGCTATTTCAAATCCAGTAATCAGATTAAACTTACTTATCCAAATCACTGTGTGTTACTATTTTTTTTTAAATAATTTTATCAATTAATTTAATCTTATTTCCTCTATGCATCTTGTGATAGTAAATGAAGCAAAAAAACAAAACAAAAAGAAACTAGCATGCATTTCAATCAATTAATCAATCAAATTTTATTTGTATAGCACATTTCAGCAGCAAGGCACATCATAAACACAAAAACACAAAGTCATGCAACATAGAATCAACAATCAAAACATTACATTTAGTCAAGTGCCATCGTTAAATTTGTAATTTAATGATGGCACTGTATTTGTATGTTTCAAATACAACTCTAAACAGGTGGTTTTTTAGTTCAGATTTAAAGGCTCTCAGTGTTTCAGCTATTTTACAGTTTTCTGGAAGTTTGTTCCAAATTTGTGGAGCATAGAAACTCAATGCTGCTTCTCCTTGTTTGGTTCTGGATCTGGGGATGCAGAGCAGACCAGAACCAGAAAACCTGAGGGGTCTGGAAGGTTGGTACAACAACAGCTCTTTAATATATTGTGGTGCTAAGCCGTTCAGTGATTTATAAACTAACAGTATTTTAAAGTCTATTCTCTGAGCTACAGGGAGCCACTTTAAAACTGGTGTTATGTGCTCCATCTTCCTGGTTTTAGTGAGAACGCCAGCAGCAGCATTTTGGATCAGCTGCAGCTGTTTGATTGATTTGTTGGACAGACCTGTGAAGACGCTGCTCCAATAATCAATGTGACTAAAGATAAACACATGGATGAGTTTCTCCAGATCTCACTGAGACATAAATCTTCTAATCCTGGAGATGTTCTTCAGATGATAGAAGGCTGACTTTGTGATTGTCTTAATGTGGCTCTGAAGGTTCAGGTCAGAGCAGGGTTGAAAGTAGTTTTAAATTCTTGGGGGTACTATGACAGAAAAGTATTATATACACTATCTGTATTTCCCTCAACCCACTGGCTGCAATGTTAACACCTTGAGATGCCATGAGACCTAAATCCTGAACATCATGGCATGGAGTGCATCCCAGTTTTCCATGTCTGGCATAGAACCATTCATTTTATATATATTTTTCCTCCAACAGGTTCCAGAGGAATCACCTCAAACCAGATGTTGGACTGGATTTTATTTCACTGTCA